CACACCGAAACGCGATTAATCACATGAAAGAGAATAAAAAACCACATCATAACCATATTACCTGCGTCAAATCACGAAAAAATCACCACTTCCCAGAACAAAATGTGTGATGTCAATTTTAATTATTTTTCACAAGGTGTTCACTTTGTTCTGCCGAGCAAAAATTAACACGTCTATTCAGCTCTGTGTCTAGTCAAAAGTGAGCTAATACAATAACAATTTAATGACATAAACGACAACTGTCAAGTGCGACTGCGCACAAAAAATGTTGTTGACCAAATTACGCTATGACCAAATTACGCTACTTTACCCTATATATATTGTATATATATAGTTTTTAGTATTCCTTTTTTGTTTAGAATTATTATTAAAATAAACATTAATATATCTTATCTTATCAATAACTTATCTTAATCTACTCGTCTCCGATCCCCAAGACTTTCGCGCCTATTTCTCTTACATCACTGTATTTGCTGCTTTATCGTCCCGTACATACGTACATGCGATAAAACTCGTGTAACAACATCGATATACGCACATGCAAGCATACGCCGCACACGAGCAGAAAGTGACAAAGTTCATACGAAGTATCTTAAAAAGAATTTATTAGTAACTAATATTATATAGTACAGATTGATCTATCATGACGAGCAAAATCGTGAGGAAAATAATAGCAACTAAAAAAGCTCCGATACCAATTGGACCGTACAGGTAAAAATTTCTGATTTTAATTTTAAATTATAAAATTCCCTAAAAATAGAAATAAAATATTTTAATCAATAAACAAGGTTATATATTTGTCTTTCGTCAAATCACACAGCGAAGAGTAAATTATATATGTCTCTATATTGAAATAAAATAGCTCTGAAAATCAATCAATAATTTAACAGAGTCAATGCAGATATTAGTGCGTAACCCGGGCAAAGTTCTTTATATAAGAACATATATAAATTTAATATACATAAACATAAATAAATATATTAAAATGATATACAAAATATGTCCATACATATATATCCATCATATTAATTTCTTTTGTAAAATTTCTGTTTGGTGTAAGAAAAGTATAAGTAGTAATAATAAAAGGAAAGAGATTGTAAAGCAAGTATAAGAGTGGAAGTCAAGACGGATATAATAAATGTAAAAAATAGATAATTAAAGGATAGGAAAAGAAAATTGTAAAAGGATAGTAGTAGTAGAAAAGAAATAAGAAATGGAAATGGAAATAAAAAGACTGTGAGCTCGAACGCCGAGCAGTAATTTAAGAAGTCTACTGTGATAGTTTATTAAGTTTTAAGCGTATAGGATAAGATAGAGAGATAGGTTAGGATATGGATGAATGAGCACATGATATAAGGTGTTAAATGTAAACCAAGTCCTTTTTTTGGCTGTAAAATTGCTAAAGTGAATAAATATTCTATTCTATATAACAGTAAGATAAGTAATAATAATAAGGATACATAAAAAATAACTTTAAAACTAATTTTTGTATTGCTTTTTTACAATTAGTTATTAATTTAAAGAATAAGAAAGAATTACGTATATATTTAATTGTAGATACTTATATAGTAATAGTATATATATATATATGTATGTATAGTTTTAAATATATGCGATTATATAGGATGTCCAGTAAATCGCCTGCAATACTTCGGGAGGTGATTCGGGATCCAAAAAGAAGGAAAAAAAGTATATAAACATATAGGTCCGGAAATAAATCGTTTCCGAGTTATAGCCCTTTATTTTATTTATTAATTTATTAATTTTTGAGCCATATATATTGACAATTTCAATTTTTGTGTAAATTTTTTAAATTTGATACAACAGTTTATTTTCGAGATAACATTTACAAAATGATTTTGTAAATGATATCTCGTAAAAACATTCCAAAATCTACTTGGCAACTTTTTTACATTTTTACATATGTCTGTCTAAAACGGACTATGTTTGATCCTTTTAACCTCTTTTATCTCGTAAACTTGAAGTAATAGAATTTTACGGTCAAATTCGTATTCCGCGTTCAAAAATTTATAGAAAATTACTTGAAAAACCAATCCGTATCTATCACATCGACCAGTATCATTTTTTTTTTATATGATCAATATACCCAGATAGCACACAGAGCCCAAAAGAATTCATTAGTATATTCAGTTTTATGTCATCAATTCTGAGTTTATTTTCAGATGCAAAAAGAATCCCTTTTAGAAAAAGAATTCTTTTTGCATCTGAAAATGAACTCAGATATATATATAACAGAGTTCTTTTTTCATTCTCTGTGCTATCTGGGTATTTAAATTGTTCAAATTAAACAAGATAACCTGTACACATTTTCTGTGTGAAGACGCACATATATAAATTCTAAATTTGTTTGTTCTCGGTAGTCAAGCTGTCTTGGTACATCACACTTTATATGTGTCTGGAATGATCGGAATGGACCCTAAAACACAAAAGCTCGTTGATGGAGATACTGCAGCTCAAGCTAAGCAAGCTCTTATCAATATGAAAAATATTTTGGAGGAAGCTGGATCTAGTTTCGACAAAGGTTTGATAAATTATTATTATTATTATTATTATTATTTATTAATATTATTTAAATTGTTCTGCATCAATTGAACCTGTATATTATACGATGCATTCCTATTAATAATACAAGTCAACTTCCAATATCGTTATTGTCTTTTATTTAATCCGTGTCAGTAACTCAAGTTTGATTTCCGTAATGAATTGAAAAATCGAAAAAAAAACTGTTGTATTAAATTCAAAAAATAAAATCTTTGTAACATATTTTAAATGTACACAACTTCGAAAAAAATTGTGTTAAATTTAAAAAAAAGTAAATGCTATTATCTTCAATGTATTACATGATCACGCAAAATTTTGTAAATAATATATCCTTGAAAAAAAACTGTTGTATCAAATTAAACAAATAAAGTCCAAGTTGTATTATCTTCAATGTATACATGATTTTCAATTTAAAAACCAAAATATAATGTCATCAAAAAAGTGATATTAATGGAGATATGAAACTGTGACGATGTGCCCCCGCTTTGCTAGAATCGGGGCCGACCATCCGCCCCTAGCGCTTAGCGACCACAATTCCGACTAGCACGCGTTCCGAGCTCCGAGCGTGATATTCCCTCTCCGCGCCGCCGCCGAAACCCATCGGCGGAGATATATAAGCCGAAGCTGCGAAACTCTTTACCTTAGCCTAGACTCCTAGATTATTCAAAGAAGCGCAACCGGCTTATGTCAGTATCGCAAAAGTACTAGAAAATATTAAAAATATACTAAAAATGGCGTCGAATGGCCAATCATAAAATTGATTTATTTGGTAGCCAGTTATAATACCAATAAATCAATCTTATGATTGGCTATTTGCGAGTCCAATCAGAACTCGTAACACCGGTCGCGCTTCTCTGATAATCTAGGACTCTACCTTAGCCGAACGTACAAATTACCATAAATTGCATTCTAAGGGATAATTGTTTTTCTACGCTTCCAATCGTAGCTCAAAAGGTCTTGTATTTTTTGTGCAAGTAATCCGATGCGCGCGAATTACTTTTTTTGTACATATGAGCTACAGAACTTTTATACCTGTTGTGTATGTAAGGAGTCCGGAGTAGAGAGGTGCCAATAATCGTAGCCAAGACATTCTTGATATAACAAAAAGTATATATTCTCAATATAGTTAGTCGGTTAGAGACACGTGTG